AAAATGAACTAGTTAAATTATCCTGCTGATGAAACGCTTCCAACCCCCTTCAAATACAGTACAACCTTTTCCCCCCCCCCCCCCCCTTTCTCTTACCCGTGCTTTCTACAACTTGTTTTTATTTAACAAAGAGCTCATACGGGATGAATTTTAAACTATTAGTTCTTTCCTTATTACATGTATTTTTTTTTTATCTTTTTTCTTTAGGTCTGACAGAAACCTCCGACTTCAAGCCGTCGTTTCCAAGGTCACTCAGGCGGGGTTCACGCTGACGTTCCACATCTGGTCGAACACTCATGTGTACCATGCTATGGGAACCTGGATAGCATGTGACGACCAATAGATTGTCGACACAGAGTCACTCAGCAGAGGACATTCAAACGGACTGATCATGAACAGACAACGGAAATGAACATTCAAATAATCTCTCTCTCTCTCTCTCTCTGTCATGCTTTGCTGATAACACATTTCAGGCTATTTTGGGGGAGAAAAATACTGTAAATGATGGTGTACAGCATCTTTATAAAATTTATAAGCTTTTGTGAGTGTGCTTGCCCTTCTTATATTTGGCCTGTATTATACCCGACATAAAACAATGGATGATATTTATCATATTATTTTAAAGTATCTTAAATTAATATTCAATTTTTATAATAGGCTTAGCTTTCGTATCCATTTTAATTACATTGATATTTTTGGCACATTAAGGGGTAAAATCTTTTCAGTGTTCATCAAAATAAAATATTAATCACAAAAAAAAAAAAAAGATTTAAAATAGAATGATTTTTGTTTTTCATAATTTCACAGTTGATGATTATGCCATGTGTGCGTTTGTTTGAATGTTTTGCCCAAGAAAAAAATCCTCATCAAATTAAGGAGTAACTATGATCGATCAGGTTTTGTTTATTTAGATCAGTCACAAGTCATCTGGAAGAAAGCTAGCGGGCGGGGCCCATATATGACCATCTATCATCTAATTCTACAGACGCGTACACCCAAATACGCAAACTGTTATCTGCCATTTTAATACTGTCACAAGTCTTTTTTGAGTTCTGGCGATTTTTTCTTCAAAGTGAAAAAAAGTCAGTAGAATATCATCCTCTGACGGAATTTTCAAAACCGACACATTTTTCTAGTTTTTACCAAATGTTATTTAGCAGAATATGAATTGGAGGGACAGAGATTTTGGTATATGACTTGGCATGTCAATGTTTTAAGTCATAAATAGAAGTGGTTTACATGCGTTACTGAATCCCACATTTACTTTATATGTAATTTCAAGGGTCATGATGCTTTCAGTGCCTAAAATGATGTTTTTGTCAATTTTAATGCGATACTACAAAATTGTTAACAGCATTATCACCTTCAATTTTAAATAATAAAATATAAATATTATGGATAGTAAAAAAATGTGACAAGCAAAAGTCTTCAGGCCCATGGAAGTTCAAAGTCTTGCTTTGAAATACCAAAATGTAAACAAAAAGAAAATGTGTCTGTGCATAAAAATGAAATTGACCTTTTCTCTTTTAATCCTGGATCAAACAGTGGGACTGTCCTTGTGGTCTAAGGATGGTAGCTGTAGCCCAATGAACTTAAGATAACCAAAAAGTATTATTAGGTTTTTATGAATAAAATATGACATAAAATAATGAAGAGAAGATGTACAAGCTCTAGAAAAGAAAGTAAGAGTACCACGATCTGGCACCATGTCAACTGTGGAGAGCAGCAGAGACGTATATGAAAGAATAGATGTAATGTAGGAAATATTGTTACTGCTGCTACTGATGATGATCGTGTTCATAGTTATCTGAATAATTAGGCTGATGGAACACTATATATATCAAAACTAATAATATAACTAAATCAGTTCTGCAAAAATATTTTGGTCTTTTGGGAGTAAATAATTTATTTTACATGTCCAAAACAAGTGGTTGAAACAGGTTGTGCAATATTTGGCATATGATACAAAATCAAACTAGAGGATCAGAGAGGCGATACCGCCTCCGAATATTGTACCACCAGCTGGAGCAAGCGCATTCGTATAGACCCCCACATACACAAAATAAGGGACACAGCCACCAGTTTTGTGCTTGACAAGCTGTAAAAATGCAATCAACAAGAATTTTTAAACTATTGCAAAAAACATATATGGTACAATCAAATTTAAGTTCTTCGTAAGGTAGGTCAAGGGTCAATTTCAAGGTCACAGTAAATTGCCAGTATATGACTTCATATTCAAGTTCAAGAATAACTATGAACCTATCTCTGTCAAGTTTGAAGTTAAAAGAGAAAAAAAGTTCAGTTCATGATAAAAAGTAGGTCAAAGGTCAATTTCAAGGTCACACTTATATTGCCAGTATAGGACTTCCTATTCAAGTTTAATAATAACTATGGACCTATCTCTGTCAGTTTTGGAGATAAAACGGAAGCAAAATTTGCAAAATTCAGTTCATGGTGAAAAGTAGGTCAAAGGTCAATTTCAAGGTCACATTTAGATTGCCAGTATATGACTTTCTATTCAAGTTCAATAGTAACGATGGACCTATCTCTGCCAGTTTTGGAGATAAAAGGAAAGCAAAATTTGCAAAGTTCAGTTCATGGTGAAAAGTAGGTCAAAGGTCAATATTAAGGTCACATTTANACCGAAACCATGTGTACCGCCAGCGCCAACGCTGGTGGTACAATAAAATAAACCAACATTTGGACATTCTAAAGAAAAACCAACAGAATTGGTCCTTATCAAATTGCTAAAAATGTTAAAAATAAGGAAATAGGTTTGTTTTCATGAAAACTGTCAGGGCAGATGACAGACCAAGGGTATCAAATAGACAGACAGACAGACAATTTTAAAAAACATAAAAGAGAGAAAGAAGTCATATTAAAAAAATAAACAACACCACGATGAGTAAACAAGATCAAACCTGACCACAGACCACATGGAGTGTAACCATATGTTTAGTTACACTCCTTTCACAACACTATACACTTGCATTTCCTGAAAGGTGTACTTTGTGGAAAACTCAGTGTCATGTTCTAGCCAATGTAAGCTGCTGGTCAAATACTGCCAGTCAGTGTGGCAATTCCAAGTTCTAGATAGCTGTCATTGTGTTATGGGGCAAAATAGCACCTTGACCTTTATAAATATCTGTAGAAAATGGACATATTTATGCTGTACTTTCATGATGTAAATGTTTCATCATATTTCATAAATATATTATGTTATAATTACAATGCAAACTGATTCCAATTATAATAAGTGGCTGGAGGGCTATTTTTAGAAAATAAGACACTCCTGCAAAAAAAATTCTATACAAGTGTGGCTCAGTCTTTGATTAAGCTCTAGTCTTTGACAGCTGTTGGTGGGGTATGGTATGGTGAATGTTTAAGAGCCTCAAGAAATAAACTTTCATCTTCCAGGAACTCATGGTCCTGAAAAAAAAAAAACAATGTTCAATAAGTAACATAGCTATCTGTAAAAACTAAAATGGTTTTTAGATATATTTTATTTTAAACTTCAGTATCTTAATGTGCCTTAGTGCACTTCTACAATGAAAATTTTTAACACATTCTAATTTGGCTGAGGAAATGTGAAGTATTTGCTTATTTTTGCCAGATCTATCACCAATTTGGTTCTGATTTTCAATAAGTTCCCACCTATTTGTTTAAAAGAATTTTTATATTTGAGTGAACCGAACTACAACGTATAGTTATATTTAAGGCATTATTTACTATGACACACTATCTGATCTCACACCAGCATACTTAGTTCCATTACCATATCAATTTGGAGCAAGAAGTCACAATATTTAACTCATAACTTGCTTGACAAACATAATTATATTATCATTTATTTACCTTTTCTGCATTTATTTTCCACATTCTAAAAGTTCTGTCCTTTACCAGGCTAGAGCTAATGCTGTTGAGAACTGGGCTGGTAAAGGGTTCACCTGTTCCACTCCCTTGGAAAGAAATGGCAGCCCCATTTGCATTGGCAGAACTCCCTGGGATATTGAGGGCTGCCCCTAATATAGGACTTCCTGTAAGAGACGAGAGGACATGTCTGGTCTATTTAACTCAAAATTAATATTTTAGCGTAAGCAACTTCAACTGAAATGTCCTGTTTTTCATCTTTTATACACATTCTCAATTGCCAAACTAACAAATTTCTGACTTTCATAAAATGTTAAAAAATATTCTTCCACAAATCATACCATGTTGCGTGGCTTCCTTCACAGGTGTTCTACAGTTGACACAAATGAAAGAATTTCTCAACTGACCAAGTTCCTTTTTCTCCTTGGCAAGACCCAGTCTCTCCTGAATCAATACAATAAAAACTGTATAAGAATTTTGCATGGCATACCTGTGTCTGTGTGGTTGTGTGTTAGTTAAGACAAATCTATCAAGTTGCTTAAACCTGAAAAATAGCAGCATGTTCAATGTTGTAATGGAATGGAACTACCAATCAAGTATAATGTATACATATAAAATTCTTTATATTTATAAAGATTGCACAAAAAACTTCTGGAGACATGCAAACCATCAAGAATAGTATAGCATGTTGAAACAGACTGGAAATCAGTAGTCCTTACCTGAGCAATCTGCCTCTCCTTCTCTCTGAGGGCACTAATCTGGATCTGTATATTCTGTAACTTGTTACTCTGCTCAGCCTGGACCTTTCTGGCCTCAGCTAACATTCTATCACCTTCTTCCCTCACTTTAGATGCTTCCTACAAAGCAAGAAAATAAACTATCACCTTCTTCCCTCACTTTAGATGCTTCCTACAAAGCAAGAAAATAAACTAAATGAATGAAAGGTATTCCACAACAGGAAACAATTTGTCAAGCACACTGGTAACATGAAAACAGCCTATGTAAAACAGTACTCTCTGACCACAGGGTGCGATAGTAGCCTGTTACAAAATTGTTGATACTTAAATTTTGTATAATCTTTTAGAAGCCCCTGATATAGTATGGTAAAACAGTGTCCTTATCACCCCATATACACATGCGCAAATTCTAATATAATAACATATAATCAAACAACACACCAAGCTGATCTCCTCCACTTCCTGAGACCTCAGCTTCATGTGTGTGGCCAGTTCATCCAGCTTCTCCTTCTCCATCTGCAGAGCCGCCTTCTGTTGGTCTAATGCCAGCTTCTGTGTGTTGATTCTTTGCTGTTCCTTCTGAAGTTCCTCTGACATGGTCTGCAGCCTCATCTTCTCATTGCTCAGGGTTTTCATGGTGCCTTCAAGATCTGCCTCTGCCTGTTTGTATGAATTGTATGTAGGTTAATATAAAACACAAGCATCCATATCATATTCGAGAGCTTTCCATTTCCCTTATTCAATAAAGAAATGAGAATTGTAGGTTTCACATTGGTACATGGGAAATGAAAAGAAATGGCAATAAAGTTCAAGGTTTAACAATGAGTCTATAGCAGGGAGTGTTCAAATTTAAGTATATGTGAGGTGTGCAATAGGTTTTACTCAAGAACAACAAAATTAATTTCTTTATATTCACTTTCAACAAACTCAAAAAAAAAAAAAAAATTAACCAAATTTTTAAAGTAAATCATTTTTTAATGATTTTACACAATATGTTGAATGGAACAATTTTCAATACACTCAACAACAATTATTACTCTAGAAACCATCCAATATAATAACTACACACCTGTACATTACGGACAGTGTCCCTCTGTTCCCTGTTGAGAAGTGTACTCTGTAACATATTAAACTGAGTCCTCTCCTCTGAGAGTGCCCTTCTCTCATCATACAGCTGGGAGTAGATGGTCTTCTGTTCCTTTAACAAGGCATCCTGTAAGTTATTTTAAACCAGAGAAAACAATTCAAATATATTGGCCATTATAGTGTTCTCTATGGTTTAATGCATCATTTGATACTTATTTCAATCAAATTCTAAAGCATAACATACCTTCTGCTTGTAAATGTTTACTGGCATGGCCCCTTAACATCACTATGTACTGTGATCTGCTTAGGCTAATTGACATCTTACATATACTAATTTACATTAATTTATCCAGGTAAATCCACAAATAAAAAGGTAATGGTATGAAAAAAAGGTGAATAATTGGACAATATTCACTTTTAAGTTATCAAATTGCTGTTAACAATAACAGTTGAAAGCTTTCTGTTCATATATGCTGAATATTTAATGTTAAGTTTTGCCTTATATTCAGGATTCAGATGTTACAACTCTGGGATTTGCTGAGAGACCCACAAATTTAACCTAGATCTCACAGTCTCACAGATTATTCAATATTTCTCAAGGAAAACTGCAGTATTAGATGATTATCAATGATTATTAAAAAGGTAAACATCACCTTTGAGCTCTGTAGCTCACTTCTTTCCCTGGTCAACTGATCTGTTATCATTCTTCTTTCTTCTTCTACAGATATCTGGAGAACTGACAGCTTGTTCTGTTCCTGTTTAACTTTCCATTTTTCCTGGATTCACAATAAAAACAACGTGTTCATGTTTGTGTTTTACATGGATGGTTTAAAGAAAAAGTTTTAGGCTTCTTTTCCCAAACAAAAGTCTATAAGCACAAGATTACACAGCTGGTGTCTGTCTTACAAGGAACATTTAACTTCTAAGTACCATTCTTCCTCATTGGTCTATTTTAAAAAATCAATCAA